GAAAGAAAAAAGTAAGGAAAGTAAATAAAAGTAATAAGTGAAAAAAAGTGCAAAGAAAAATAGAGAAGAGAAAGAAAGAAAAGAAAAGAAAAAGTTATAAAGAAGTGGCTTCTGATCTTCTTAGCAGCAGTTACAAGTACGTTTATATTTTACCCTCTCTCTCTAAGGTTACAACATAATTTCCTTCTTTCCAATCATCAGACCCATAAATCACAAGTTCATTTTTTTCTTGTTTCAGCAAAACTCCATAAGGAGTTTCCAATAAATGTAGTTATTGTCCTTTCTTTAATCAAACAAGTCAATTTTGCCATCTCTGCTCATTCTGTCATCTTCACCAGCCATTCCTGCATTCTGGGTATTTCAGAGTCTTAGGACAAGAAAATTTTTAACTGAAAAGGCCCTCCCCAGAAGGTATCAGGTAATAGACCCTCACTGACTGATTCAGAATGTCATTCCCCAAGAAAACAATTAAGGCTAGCTACGCATCTAGCACGAAACCACCCATCAGGCAATAACCATGCTACCATTCAAGAGTATAAGAGTCATCAAGCATCTCATCATTTTTCTTCTCTCTGGTTAAATTTAGAGTTAGCAGGCAAAAAACCCAAACCCAGACTTTTTTTTTTTTTTTTGGCATTCAGTTGCAGCAGTTTTGCAGGAATGTAGGCTCTCCCTGGACATCCCTAGCCCTGCCTTCATGTGGGAGGAATATTTCAGCCAGTTATTCACTGCCTCCCTGTACCTGAGGACTCACAAAATGATCTACAAAAGGCCTGTAGTCCCTCACCACCCCTGCCTCCTGAGTTGGAGATTAGCAAACAGAATGAGTCTGAACTCTGAAGTCCAATAAGGCTCCTGGGGAAGATCTTCTACCCGCTGAATTTTTCAAATGTCACATCAGCTGGTGGGCTCTTTTACTTGCAGGTTTATTTACTCATGTAAATAATTCCTGTCAAAATCCAGCTAGTTGAGAGCTTCTATTATGGTCCCCATTTACAAAAAAAATGATAAGGGTGATCCTTCAAATTATATACCGATTAGTGCAATTGACATTGTAGCAAAATTGTATGCCAAATATCCTTTATACAAGATTGAGGATTGGGTTATTGAAAAGGGCTTGTTAGCTGAGACTTCTGGGGGAGGCATGGTGAGTTAAACATGTCTCCAGGAGAGAGGAGATGCAAAGAACCAGTGAGGAGATTGGTTCTTCAAAACTTCTCTGGACCAGGAGAGGACAGGAGATCACCTATGTGTGCTGCAGATGGCTGCTGCTCAGGAGGAGACCACAGGACAGCAATCTCCTGTGGGTTTGAATCTTTTAAAGGTGGCTGCAGTGGAATTGTTTAAAGGCCACTAATGTCAGGCCTAGCCCAAGGAACTCCTGGAGACCGTGCAGGTTCAATCAGCAAGGTTTAT